AAACGAGGGGTATTTTAGTCATTTTCACTGTTTTCTTAAATTTATATTAAAATTAAACAAACATATTATATTTTTTATTTTAAAATGTAAAACAGAAAAAGAAAAGAAAAAAGATAACCATCACATTTTTTTCTTTTTTTAACAATTTAAATTTAAAAGTATAAAATGTTTTTTTTAATATAATAAAAATAGTGAAAATGACTAAAAATACCCTTCGTTTAGTTAGAATTCAGAGAAAATTAACGACCGTTAAATAAAGGGATCAATTAATCAAATGAGGGATCAAATCTGTGTTTTTAAAGATTAGAATTTTGAAAACCCCATTTCACTATTTATTTAAAAAAAATAAAAACAATAATCAAAAGTCAAAGGTGAAAAACATAAAGAAAGTCAAAGCTATTGGTTTATAGTTTTGACCATGTTCTAATGGTCAAAGGTAGAGCAGTAATGGATTATGGACCATGCTTTTACAGAAAGAAATAGCCTCCACCCCTCTTGCTATTGTCTCCATCTCCATATGTGATTCAATGGAGAAGACTTTATTCATTGCACAATATATATATTATATATATATAGGGTTGGGTTCACGTGAGACCAAGGGTTTTTCGTGAGACCTGTAAGACCAATTTATGTTCATTGATCAACTTTATAAGCTAATGATCTAATGGTCTAAAGTTGCACGGTGACAATTTGTGATTATTGAGAAGTCTCATGACAATTTTGTGATTATGAATGTTCAGATTGTAGATTTAATCCAATAATTGAGAATTGGTCTTACGGGTCTCACGAAAAACCCTTGGTCTCACATGATCTCAAGTGTATATATATATATATATATATATATATATATATATATACATACATATGGAGAGAGAGAGAGAGATATATATGACATACCCATGAATTAATGAATAAGATTATAAAAAAAACTAAGATCTAAACCCAGATAAAGAAGTAATTTAGTAATTTATCAATTTTGTTTTGTCTCTATGATTTTTATTCCACTTACTGTGATGGGCAAAAACCAGTCATATCTTCTGGTATAATGTCGCACCCGAAGTAGTTGTGTTCTGTTATGTCTCGTATGCTGAACACATTCTAAGGATCGTCTGGTTTGTGGGATTTGGTAGGATTTTAGAGAGACTTGGAATTGAATTTCATTCCGAACATGTGTTTGGTTTGAAGGGTAGCTTGGATTTGAAATCTCACCACCGAAGAATTTAGAAATCATTGAAGACGACTTATCATTTCAAATATGTCATATAATTTCTTCATTGCTTCCACATCTTACCAAAACAAACGAATTATTTATAAAACAAATAAATATTTACATAAAATTAAATTTCATTCCAAATCCTACAAACCAAACAAGATTTTTAAAAAAATGGAATTTAATTCCATTCCAAATCCTAAAACCCAAATACACCAAGGGTCCGTTTAGTTTGCAGGATTGTTTTTGAGTGATTTTAGATTTCAAGGAGGGATTTGGGTTGGAACGGAATTGGATTCCATTATTTATAAATAATTAAATTACATTTTTATTAATCGATTATCTATAAATTTTTTTTTTTTAACATTTCTAGAATCTTCTTGCATGTAATCCTACGAAATGCTGTGAAATCCCAAGCACCCCTAAGGATTTCAAAATCCTATGTTTGTATGATCTCAATTAAATCCTAGGATTTCAAATCCAGACAATCCAACAAATGAAACATACGATTGGAATAGATTTCAAATTCAAATCCTCCCAAATCCATCTCATTCCTGCAAACCAAACGAGACCCAAGATTCCAAATCTTCTAATTTCAAATTCCTACATTAAATCCAAATTCCTCAAAAACATTTCATCAAACCAAACAAACCCTAACGGGTTTTCTTAGAGAATAATTTAACAGGGTTTCCCATATCTGACCAGAATAAAGCTTATTGAAATGGGTTATGTGGGAAAAGGTTATAATACAATAATGATGAAGAAAACAAGATTTCTTTAACTTGAAAGAATAAGTTTTTAGAGAGTCTTTTAAGAAATGGAGACAAAAGGGGACCAAAAACAGTTGAGCCATTACCAAAAAGGCCACATCACCCACCAAAGAATGTGAAGGAACATGGACACCCTTCAATCTTCCAACCATCCATCAACAAACATGCACCCAACCACAACAATAACCTAAAGAAAACCCTATTTCCCATCATCATACTTTAACTCCACTCATGCTTTACTTGTTCCAAAGTCCTAACACAAATGGGAAAAATACCCTTGTTTGGTTTTCAACCAAAACGAAACCGAACCAGTAAATCTTGTGTCAGTATAAAATCTGGGTTAGTTGGTTATAAGTATGGGTCTTCATAGAATACCGTTTTACCTTTTGAAGAAGATGTCAAGTCTGCATATATCTCACAACATGAGTCTTGTAACCCAAGGGGCGAACCTTATCTTTTATACAAATATAACAGATATAATTTGAATGACAATAACTGACAAAACATATGAAATTTTCGATCTTTTTCAATTTCAAAATGTTCCGTCATCGAACACAATAACCAAGTTATGTTGGGTTTTTTTTTTTTGTTTGATTCGGTTTTCATATATATAGAATTTTGATTGAAAAGATATGCAAAGAGATGAATTTGTGATCAACTTAGGGGCCGTTTACCAAACGCTTACCCGGGTAAGCGCTTACCAAGTAACATTACCTCACCGGATAAATTTGATAAGGACCAAGAATCTTATCTAAGGACCAAGGGTCTTACCCGGTAAGTGAGGGCGACGACTCTTAACATGGTAAGCGTTTACCGGGTAAATTGTTGCATACGAAGTCGTTTTTGTGGACTAAAATCTTTCCCGGTAATTACATAATAGTGTTAAATTTTACCGATAAACACTTACCAGGTAAGTGTTTAGTAAACGGCCCCTTATTGTTGCAACCATTGGCATGGGATGTGAAACCCTACACCATCAAAAATACAAACTAATAGAGGTGCAACAATTCCATTCTTGTTAATTGGCATGTTTCCTTTTTGGGTAAGTTTTCAAGCAAATATAAACATCATACATTCCACAAGATTTCCTATTTTTCTAATTCTATAAGGGTATTTTTGACATTTGATAATAGTCTAATATTTCCAAAAAACTAATTTGATGACACAAAGAGAATACGTAAAAAGGTGTGTCCCAATTGTCAAGAAGTTAATCAGTTATCAGCGTGTAAAGTTGCTGTTCTTTCTCCAAATCTTGTATCTTTCTCTTGGTAGATCCATTTTTGTCTGTTCATGAACCAGATTGAGAATAAATATAATAAGTTTGTGAACCAACAAATCACATGTTCACTTAAAAACCTTTTATTTGTAAATGATATATATATATATATATATATAACACAAAAAGTAAGCAATCGATATTTGGTGACATATAAACCACAATATATTCATTCGTATTGATCATGACAACCACGTTACCAAATGCCAACGATATTTCCTTCTTAGCTACAAATAATCGTTTGTCAATATGCGTTACCACTTGACTCATCGACACAACGATTCAAATCGAATTCTATAGCCTAAAGTCCTAATAGCCTCTTGGCATACGACTAATGATATCAGTTTATTATTTGAAAACTAAAAGTTACAGATAATGACAAAAAAAATAATATAACTTGAAGCAAGTTCATGAATTTAGTATACCAAGGGTATTTTAGTAATTTTTAGGAACTAAAAATTAGCTAGAAAGCATTAAGGGGGTGTTTGGTAATATGTATTAAACAGTAATTAATGGAAATGATAATAAAAGAAACAATTAATTGGTTTTATATAATATAATGGGTTCATTCCTTCAGAAGTCCAAATTTTCGTTCCTTGTAATTTTAATTTTTATTCCTAACCAGAACCAGATAACCCCTAAACTTATATCTTAAATAATTTATTAATAAAGAGCATTACTTAATAATCCAGTAATAATAATTACTGGACTAAGGTTATGTTTGACAAAATAACTGATAAACTAGCTGATGGTTGATAAGGTAGTTGATGAAATAAATATGTTTAATATTTGAATAAAACATAATAATTTACATTAATTTAAATATAATTAAATACACAATTAAAACTAATAACAATAATAATCACAACTTTAATTAACTGAATTGTATATTTTGGGCTCCTACCAGCCCAGAAAAAAGTTGAACAAAATATTAAGCCCAACCTTAAGCAGCCCAATAACCGAGTTATGGTCGATTTGGGTCAATTTTGTTTTACGTTAAAACCCCAGTATCAATTAGGGTTAAGTTTCAGTGAGAAAAAAAAAAGTTATGGTGAGAAGTGTAAGAAGAGATTTCTACCATCTGATCAATTCTAATTGAATGTCAATACTAATGAGTGCATCAGATCAATTCCCTTCTAAACCACAATTCATGGGTGAGCATGAGATTAGTGATCAAGAGTTCAGATCTGTTTTTATACTTCTTATTGTAACTTCCCTTCTCACATGATTCTTCGTCGTATCAACTGATACTAACTATGAATGTTGTAATTAGGAATGAATTCGGCCCAATGAACCCCACTTTTCGTGATTTATACCTGGTTCATTGACAATTATAATATACCAAAAAACGAGTAATGAAATCTTTAAAATTTTGAACTATTTTGCCACTTGGTAAAGCAGGCTTATGTACTTTCCAGATTCACGTTTGATTCCAATAATGATTTCAGTTTCATCTGCTTCTTATACCAATCTAGCTGGACATTTTCAACAGAAACAGTTATACGTCAATATCCACTATATTTATTTATTTATTTATGCACAGGATTTCTTGCATATAACAATAACTTTTCTATAGGTGTTAGATAACAGTACAACAAATGATCTGATTGTCTTATGAAATAGCCGAGTGTTCTATGACTATGGACACTCTTATTCTAGCATTACACTCACTTATTAGAAATAAGCAAAACTAAAGAAGCTATAGGAGCGATAGCGATGATCGAGGTGGCGTTATTGGTTCTCATTATTTTTGCAATGGCTTCGGTGGTTTCTTGCCATCGGTCATAGGTGGTTTCTTGCCATCGGTCATAGGTGGTTTCTTGCCATCGTTGACCCGTGGTTTCTTGCCATCGTTGATCGGTGGTGCTTCTAGCTCTACCTCTACCCCTGATTTCTCGTTTGCACCCTTTGCAGCCGAGACATAAAAATGGTAATAAACCAGACCCAGAAGCACACCCACGAGACCCATGATACCAGCTCCCAAGAAGATCCCAGGCCTTACGGTATAACAATAGTACATGCCATTTGCCTCAATCTCTACACCTTTTTTACTGCTTAATTTTGCACCCCCGAGAAACAAGAAGATAGCTACAACAGATGTAATCCTGTATAAACATGAAAATTGCAGATCATAAAAAATAAGAATCAGATGAAGTTTTATGAACACGTTACGTACCATGATATAACAATACAAACTCTAGCTATATTGCGTAAATTAGGGATAGTTCGGCAACATCTGCAACAACCACCAGTGGTTGACGTGACAATGATACGAGCCAACGCAAGAGCCACTGCTGCAGCTAGGGCAAGACCCATGGCTGGACTACTTGGGTACTCGCATATGGGTTCATAACCACCATCATATTCCACCTTGATGTCATTTTTCTGTCATGCATATAATATGATTCTATCAGTTTAAGCTTTAGCCGAATACTGCAATCTGATATCCAAAAATGCCATATACAATATTCTTGTGAAACAACCAGTTGTTTACCTTAACTCTCTTGCTTTCGGCTGCAAACCCTGCAACGGCAGCTGCTACGCCGAGCACCACCAAGAGAACGGAGACCAAAATCGTTTTGCCCTCCATCGATCGGTTCAAATGATGGTGTTATTATGAAACGAAAATGGGTATGGTGTAGGTTTTATGGTGTGATCAATAGAAGGAAAAGGCCAAATTGAGGTCATAAAAACCTACGAAATTTGAATTAACCTCGGAATTTACGACTAAGGACGAAAGCGTGTTTTTAGTTGTAAAAAATGGTTGGAATTATTTGCAAAAATGGTCTTTTCCGACCAAAAATTTGAAATTCATTCTTTTATTTTTAAAGTTTTCATTTAAACCCTCTTTTATTTATAGAAATGGACCTTTTTTAACATCTATTTTATATATAAATTCAATTATCATAGATATATGAGTGAACATTATTTATTAGTTTTAATAAATTAAGAGCAAATTGTATGAAAAAGTAACGTACTTTAACTTGATTTTAATTTTGGGTAACACATTTTCGAAACTTCCATTTTGTAACATAAAATGTAAGGTTTTAAACATTTAAGTATTTGGGTACCCGGTTGAAGCATTAACCGGTTACCATGCTGATGCGGCGAGTGATGTGTTATCCGATTAATGCTTTTGCAAATACTACTGAATTAATGGATACCACATCAGCATGGTAACCGGTTAATGTTTCAATCGGTTGCCCGGGTATTAGAATGTTCAAAATTTTACATCTTAGGTATCAAAATGGAAGTTCTGAAAGTACGTTACCCAAAATATGAATCAAATTAAAATATGTTACTTTTTCATGCAATTTACCCTTTTAATAACTTAATTAATAAGTTTTTCAAAACGATGCTAATATAAAATTAGTAATATTTACTTTATTTTTGACATTATTATCAGATTAAATAATTTTAACTAGGGGTGTCTATTTAACCGTAAAAACCGTAAACATCCCACTGTAAAACAAGGTTTAGATCTTTCAGGTGTCGTTGACAGTTTACCTTTTTTACCAAACCGCATTATGCGATGCGGTTTACAATTTGAGTTAGTAAACAATGGTTTAAACCACACTGTACAACACATTATATATATATATATATATATATAATTTATATATATCATATATACGGAATAACTGGTAATCAATGAATTACAATAAGAAAAACAAACATTGTAAGAAAATGGAGTAAAATATCGATCTAAAATTATAAATTACAAAATAACCAGATTAACTGAAATTATAGAATTCAGATCAGATTGACGCTTGGTTGAGAATTTGACATTTTCTTATATTATAATTAGGTTGGAGGCATAAATGTACGAAGAGTTTGAATGAATATATAAAGCCGAAGGAATAAATTGTGGGACCGAACTCCTGTTTCTTGTCGAGACTAAAAAACGTCAACTTCCAATGGTTTTTCCTTTAAAGAACACAGTACGTATGATGTATATATCTAGGTATATTAAATAAATTCGGGGTCAAATTAGAACGCGGTAAATTGATAAGAAGTACGAGAAAAACGTTGATTTTGTTTTGTACCATGTTGATCGTTTTCCTTGAATCTTTCACGAAGTCTTAGACTTGAATGAAGCGTGTGGATGGAATTCGTATTTGCTTTTGCTTTTCTCCATGTTTCGAGCGTGGGGAGAGAAGGACGTTGATCGAGCTTTTTCATGTCTAGTCCCGATTTCCGTTGTCAAATCATATGTAATTCTAGAATAAAATCAAATGAGATGTCACGTTGACCAGCCATTGTGCGGGTGAGTTTTCACGCAACCTTAGTCGCATTGACCAAGTCGTCTGTGTCCTTTTGGACGTGATGTATCCCATGTGATTTTACTCTAGAATCATATGTGATCTGACCCTTTTCACACTTCTTACAAGTTTTACTGCTTTCTGCATGATTCTCCTTCAAATTAAATGTGTGTGTATGACAAAAGGAAAACTATGTTTTTAAAATTTAATTTCTTGGGTTTTAATAAAGGGTTAAGTATTAAAATATAAAATGTTGTTCAATAAACACTTTTCAGTAAAAATCACTGTTCTCATTTATCTTATCAGGTAAAATTTTCTACCATAAAAATGGCATTGTAGGCAACAATCTTACCTAGTAATCCTAACCGGATAAGAGTCACGAGTCACCACCCACAGTTATCGGGTAAGATGTTCAATCCTATCCATGTCTTTTACTGGGTAAGGTTCTCTCATTGTCATGCATCGTATGCAACAATTTACCTTGTAAGCGCTTAATCTGGTAAGAGTCGTCGTCCTCACTTACCGGGTAAGACTCTTGGTCCTTGTCTCGTTCTTACCGAGTAAGATTATTAGTTCTTACCATATTCATTCGGTAAGGTAATATGACTTGGTAAACGCTTACCTGAGTAAGCGTTTGGTAAACGACTCGTAACTCTCTTATTTATGTTTAATATTTCATAAGTTTATAAAATAAAAAATAATAAAGAAAAGATAAATACCCCTCATGTGAGAGGCACATGGGGGACTTAACAACCAGATATTTAACGAAACTTAGTGTTAGGGACCTAGCTCATAACAAAAATGAACCACAAGTACCTAATCCATAATATAAAAATGATGAGGGACCAAATCCGTAAATTTTTTATAAACACGTGGACGATGTTTATAATTAAGGCTAATTTATAAGATAGTACATATTACTACAACTAATCGTAGATTTTTCATTTCTTCTTGCTAGACGTTCCAACGACTGTTACATTGAATTAAGGATTTCCAAATTAGAACTGAATTCTAAATAACACCGTGTTCACAAAACCTCCTGATTACAACTTTTACGTAAAGAAAAATGTCGCGAGAATAAAAATTAAACAACTGACACACAAAAAATCATGAAAGACTGACATGCGGTTGGAGGGTGTTGTTATATTTGTTAATATTAAACCCTCATGGCATCTGCGGAAGCAATGGTGGCTTCTTGGGGTCCTCTGTAACTGATGGTGCCTCTATCTCAGAGAAAGGTGGTTTGGTCGGTACGTTTTGAGTTGAAGCGATCACGAGATAATAGAAAAGGGTTAGGACCAAACTCACGAGAGCTTCAAATGCCGCCGTTGAGAGCATCCCAGGTTTTAAGAAGTAACACTCTAGACCTGTGTCCGTTATCTTGAAATCCTTTACTTTAGAAAGCTTTGCACCTGCAATAAACTGGCTGACCGCTACAACAGAGAAAATCCTGTATAACAGTGAAAGACATTATAGGGCGTCTTAAGAATATATTTTGTAATCGTGGATGCTCGGATCAGCTCATCAGCATGTGTGAACATCAACTAATTCTATGGGACCCTGAAGTTAACAGCTAGGCAAACCTTCTGGCGGCCTTTAGTAAATTTGAAGTAATGACCTCTAGGGAGCAAACTTAATGTTTTACTGGTGAGTTGTCCTTCAAAATTTTCTTAATAAACTATCTGTGTTCTAAAAATCCCGAATCTGTCTCTACTAACCTAGTATTACTGAAGTAAAATATTGTGACAAAACAAACTCGTGTGAGGATCGAGTTCTAATAAGATTGGAACACATACCATGCTAAAATAATACAATATCGTATCAGTTTAGGTATGTTAGGGTGAAACCGACAACACGAATAGCCACGCCCAGTTGCTACTTTAACAATGATACGAAGAAGCAGAAGAGCCACTGCAGCTGTTATAGCAAGGCCCATGGTTGGACTGTCTGGGTACACACATTCAAAGTCCACAATATTTATTTGAGAAGCCTGTCACACCACCAAAATCATATAAGATCGTTGTTAGGCGTTATCATTCATTTTTAGAGTCACATACCTTTATCAAAAGACTTTAAGCTTATTCAGTTGCAGTTTTCATAATGATTCCAATGAACTTTTGTGGGACCCACATGATCATCATAGCGAATCTCAAGTGGGTCCCACGTGATAATTCCAACAGTACGTAATCTAAATCCTGACCTTAACCCTCGTGAGCTCGGCAGCAATCCCAGCTCCGACAGATAGTAATCCTAGGACCAATACGATTGCAGCTACAATCATCGAACTCTTGATCACCATCTCTATGAACACTCGAAACCGCTCGAGATGACTGTGTGTGAAGAGATGTTTGCGTGTTTATAGGCAAATGGAGTCATAACACAACGAAAATTCAAAATACAAGGTTCCAATGGTGCTCACAACGTTACTCCGATGACACCTTTTTTTAATTAAACAAATACTAATTTCATTCGTTTCTGTTTGTCTTCTTTAATTGTTGTTATCCGCTTCAATATTATTCTTTTGACTGTTAAAAGTTATTTTTATAAAAACAGCAAACATTTTATGTTTTACACAGATGTATATATCGTTGTTTTTTTCTTAAAAAATCAAGTTTTTTAGATGTTTGTGAAAACCTGCAACCATTTTTTCAGGATACGATCATATATTTCTTACCATCAGTTCGTTACAAAGTTCTAATATCGTTTCTTACAACATTTTCAACAGGTTTTTCAAAAAATTTCTTAAATAAACAATTAAAATTTAATACCTTTAAAAACAACTCATGTAATATTTTCATTTGGAGACTACAACATTGATTATATTATTAAAATATTTCATATATTTAATAAAATATTTGTTTAAAGCAAAAAAAATTACCTAAAATCTTCATTTTTTCCTATTTCGGATAACCTATAAAAAAATGCTCTAATAATTTGGGTAAAAAGTTGATTACCAACAACCCTAACCGGCCCCACACGAACCTATCTATAAGGACACCATTGTAAGGGGGCGTTTTTTTTGCTCACTCAGCAACTAAGGAGTTGTTTATTTACCTCTTAATAGTTCTATTAAGAGTCAGCCTCTGAATTGTTAAAAGATGAATCTTGTTTGACAAAAAAATGTTGTCTATTAATAGTTCTAAAATCTTTTGAATTATATTGTATCTTGGACTTCTCTTAACCATTCAGCACCCTAATTTTACTCTTAACAATTATATTTCATTTTGCATTATATCATAAGTTTAATTATTATGACTGCTTAATCATTTTATAACAAATCATTCAGTAACTGTGAAACAATCCCTAAATCCTTTTAATAATTAATCTTTAAG